TGGGGCGGGAGAAATGGAGCTGGAGCAGAGAGAGGGGTCCATGGCAGCCGTGAGCTTTGAGGAGTTCTCAGCACCTCCTGGCTCGGAGCTGGCGCTGCCTCCACTGTTCGGTGGTCACATCCTGGAGAGTGAGCTTGAGACCGAAGTGGAGTTCGTGTCTGGGGGTCTGGGCAGCTCCAGCCTCCAGGAGCGAGACGAAGAGGAGGAGGCAGCCTGAGGCCAGTGGCCACGGTGCCAATAGGAACTCAATTACAGGAAGTACCAGGCGCTGGATCGGCGCTGCAGAGAGATCAAGCAGGTGAAGGAGCGGGTCCTGAACAGGCTCCATCAGATATAGAGAATAACACAGAGACTCCAGCAGGAGCGGAGGTTCCTTATGAAGGTGCTGGACTCCTACGGCGATGACTACCGGGCCAGCCAGTTCACCATCTTACTGGAGGACGAGGGCAGCCAGGGCACAGATGCCCCCACCCCAGGCAACGCTTAGAAGGAGCCTCCGGAGAAAGAGGGGCTGTCCCCGCCCAGGAGGATGCCAGCGCCCAGAGTCCGGCCACTGGCGAGGGGCCCAGCGGGCGGAAAAGGCAGCGAGTGCCATGGGAAGGGCGCTGGGCGGGAGTCCCGCTGACTCCGGAGCTGGCCCCCATGCAGATAAAGGTGGAAGAACCTAGGCCTTCGCTCTTCGCCAGGAGGGGCCCGCACGGTGGGCGAGGGGCTTAGCTCTTTTAAAAATACTTCTGAATGTTTGGTAAATAACCCTGTAGGAATCTACTTTCTGAAACATGCTGGTTGTAAGGGCTGATTTGGGTAATCAACAAAATGTATGGCGTCAAAGCGGTCGAGGCTCTGGACTCAAGTTGGGTTTCTTGGGGGCCAGACAAGCTGCTGCCCTACCCGAACCTAGCCAGCTCCCCCTTTGACTGACCCCCGCAATAAACGGATCCAATGATTTCCTCGGCAAAAACAAAAAAAGCTTATAGAGGCATGCTTATAGGATCAAATAGTATAAATATAGATGTAACAGGACAATAAAAAAAGAACCTGGCTATGATGATAACCTGAACGCTGCCTCTGTGTCATTCCTTCTTCACCAACTCCATCCACACCTTTGGGAACCCCTGGACTTGTTAGAGCAGGACCCCAACACCTTTCTTTTCTTTTTTCTTTAACTTCATTTGCTTTGGCATCAA